ATGTGTGTGGGTCTACTGAGCTGCAAGCTGGTCATCTGGACATCAACTGAGCACCTAGAAATGGACATTCCATTTAACAAAAATTATGCAGAAGCTCATGTGCAACAGCTACAGAAATTGTACTTTTTACACATGCTGCCAGCATTAGTTGATGATTTTGCTGATAAGAAGATAAATCTGTGCAAGAAATACCTGCAGCTTTTAAACAAGTAGAGGGTGAGAGATGTGGTACACAGTATACAAAACATACCAATACAATGTAAATAAGTTTCATCAGTTTATTTTTTAAGCAACATGAGAATGAAATACATGAAAGAATCCTGTAAATATTTTTACTGTCTACATAGTGTACAAAAACAACATGTATTAATAACATGTATCTTGTTAATGACATTAAACTATAAGCACATGCAGTTTAAGTGATGATACATGTTTATCTATGTGCTTGAGATAAGCTCCCCTCTTAGCTCTTAGATTGCAGCACAAATTTGCAGTATTTTATCAAACTCTGGGACCAAATTAATAAGCAAAGTCTGTAGTCTGTGCTTGTACACCTTTAGCCGCCTTATTGCCCGTTCAATGTGAATGCGGGCATGAGCAATGCGTCGCGTGTGGGTGACTTCCTCATTAGTCAGCTGGCACTGTTTGCGTGTAAATGCTGGCATAACTAAATTCACCTTGCGTTCCTCCAATAAGTCCCTGATAGTGAATCCACGGTCCGCCATCACCTCATCTCCGGGCCTCAAGCAGTCCAGAAACCCTGAGTTCTGTGCAATGTACCTAATGTACCTGTTGCCACCATAAGCCTCTGAAATAAACATGACTAATCCAGATGGAGAAGTTGCTACCAGAGCTACCAGATAATTACTGGCATAATAGTGACTGTACGATTCACTTCTAGAATATAGATTTTTAGCCTTCTGTAGAACAGTTTCTGTGCAGTCAATTATACAAGTAGTGTTTGGAAAATGATCTTTAAAAGCCTCTGGCAGAGTGGCCTTGATGGTTTCACGGGGCAGCCATGGAATAAGATCCTTGGTATGCTTGTACAAAACATCTATCCAAAATTTCACAGTTTTGCTGACTTGACCATGTGACTTGCCAAAGCGTTTTGCCAAGTCAGCAATGACAAAGTTCTGTCTGAGTTTCATAAGTGTCATCAGGATTTGGTCTGCAACAGGCATTGCAGATGAAGTAGGGGTAAAACCATACAGTCAGGATACAAGAGTGTGGAACTCAAGAAGTGGAATACCTGTGTACAACAAGCAGTCTGCATTGTTTGTCAATGTATAACTTGCAGCTGGCTGTAACTCAGGGGGTGGTGCGAGTGTTAAGCCACATGGGATGGTGGGTCCTTTCGAATAAGTGTGGTCCTCCATCCATGGATCGGACCACTGCGTTTGGGCATCACAGAGGGAAGTAGGATTTTGTTCCACATCCATGGTATCAAGCTCACCTACAGGTAACAGAACAATTGCACACTGAGAATTCAATAAGAGTTGTTGCTGTGGTTGTTTAACAAAATAAGAAAAAGTCAGAAATGTATTTTAGGATAAGCACACATTTGTGATAAGCTAGCTAGCTAGCCAGCAAGTATAAACTACCCTTTTCTATTAAACATGTTTTCCAGTCAAACGCAGAAATTTGTGTAACGCTTAGTGAGTAAAGTTACCTGTTGAGAATGAACTGTCATCCCTCCTGAGGAGTCGGCGTCTCTTTTCTGGAGGCTTCTCATAACCGAGGAAGAGAGTAGGGTATGGGTTGTCCTCTGTCGGTTTTTTTTCCACAAAGTGAAAAGAGCATACGTAAAGCGTTTTGGGGGGCTTCTTTAAGTTCAGATTTTTGAGCCAGTTTCGCTTAGCTTCGTCTTCTATAGGAAGGCGATGAAAACTGTACCTTCTCTCGCAAGTGCATTCCGCTCTAACTTTAGGTTTGTGTATATAGCACTGTTCTTTAAGCCACAAATTAAGCTTCGTCTGGTTACAAGTGCATCCACGGACAGCACAGGTTGTTCCAGAGCTTTGTAATGCCATTTTAATATATTCCCGCCTGAAAAACAAACCGCACATAAACAAAACATTTCACCGTCGGCGCAACTCAGTCAACGCTGCTTCTTCTTCTTCTTTTGGTTTTATGGCGGGTTGCGAACCAACTTAATAGGTGCATACCGCCACCTACTGTGATGGAGTGTGAAGAGAATGTACCTTTTCTCACCTAAATCTTAAATTCTGTTCATTATTCCACAATTCTTAAGAAATCTCATGATTGCACTTATTTGTTTTCCTGCATTTGGACCATCATTCAGAATACTACTTAATGAAAATTCTTTAACTCCTAAGGATTGTAATTCATCTTTAAGTCGATCCCTTTCTCTTTCATATGCTGTACATACCATCATAACGTGTTCCACTGATTCCTCTGTTAAACAAACATTACATAGACCAGTATTATGTTTCCCTATAATGTATAGTGTTTGGTTAAGATTTGAATGTCCTGTTCGTATATGTGTTAAAATGACTTGTTCCCTTCTACTTATGTTATGAATGATTTTTCTTCTCTTTATACTCCTTTGTACTTTGTGATAATGCCTACCTGTTTGACATGAGTCCCAGTATATCTGCCATACAATATTGCATGCATTTAATATTAACTGTTTCCCTTCTATTCTGCTGAGTGCAATATTTATACTTGGATCATCCATATTTAAGGATTCTTTAGCCATTTTATCTACCTCTTCATTACCTTGAATTCCCACATGTGCAGGTACCCATATAAACCGAGTAATTATCCCTATCTGTTTAATACTATATAGTGTAATCATGATTTCTATTAAAATGTCTTTTCTATTTGATTGCCATGATTGTAAACTCATAAGAGCTGCCATTGAGTCAGAGCATATTATTACTTTATCCGGTCTTACTTCATATACCCACTCTAATGCCATAAGGATAGCTACCATCTCTGCTGTAAACAAAAATGTTGTTGATAATGTGTACTTTTATAAAGAGAAAAGCGATCTAACTTCTTCTTCTTCTTGGTTTTTAACGACGGCTGGCACCAACGCAAATAGGTGCATTACCGCCACCTTCTGCTCCGGAGTGTGAAACAGCGTTTTAAATTCTATTTACCAACTAGCGATGCGCGGATGGCGGTTATATCCAACATTATGAAGCTGCAGGCCGGGGTTGCGCAAGATGGCGGCCGGTGAGGAAGCAATTATGTGCAGCTGATGCGTTTATCCTTTCCATTCCCAAGTTTTAACTTAAAATTAAACCTGGTCGCAAAGATATCGTTTAATTATGCATTAGGCATTTTTGTTTTCTTTTTTTAGCAAAGTCGCTTATAATTTTGCTTTGTTTAATTGAAGTTTTCTAACTTGACGGCCAATACAATGTAAATAAGTTTCATCAGTTTATTTTTTAAGCAACATGAGAATGAAATACATGAAAGAATCCTGTAAATATTTTTACTGTCTACATAGTGTACAAAAACAACATGTATTAATAACATGTATCTTGTTAATGACATTAAACTATAAGCACATGCAGTTTAAGTGATGATACATGTTTATCTATGTGCTTGAGATAAGCTCCCCTCTTAGATTTACAAGAGCAGCACAAATTTGCAGTATTTTATCAAACTCTGGGACCAAATTAATAAGCAAAGTCTGTGAAAGAATCTTGTACACCTTTAGCCGCCTTATTGCCCGTTCAATGTGAATGCGGGCATGAGCAATGCGTCGCGTGTGGGTGACTTCCTCATTAGTCAGCTGGCACTGTTTGAGTGTAAATGCTGGCATAACTAAATTCACCTTGCGTTCCTCCAATAAGTCCCTGATAGTGAATCCACGGTCCGCCATCACCTCATCTCCGGGCCTCAAGCAGTCCAGAAACCCTGAGTTCTGTGCAATGTACCTGTCGCTACATTTGCCACCATAAGCCTCTGAAATAAACATGACTAATCCAGATGGAGAAGTTGCTACCAGATACTTCAGAGTATTACTGGCATAATAGTGACTGTACGATTCACTTCTTGAATCTAGATTTTTAGCCTTCTGTAGAACAGTTTCTGTGCAGTCAATTATACAAGTAGTGTTTGGAAATTGATCTTTAAAAGCCACTCTGCCTTGATGGTTTCACGGGGCAGCCATGGAATAAGATCCTTGGTATGCTTGTACAAAACATCTATCCAAAATTTCAGTTTTGCTGACTTGACCATGTGACTTGCCAAAGCGTTTTGCCAAGTCAGCAATGACAAAGTTCTGTCTGAGTTTCATAAGTGTCATCAGGATTTGGTCTGCAACAGGCATTGCAGATGAAGTAGGGGTAAAACCATCCACAAAGTGAAAAGAGCATACGTAAAGCGTTTTGGGGGATTCTTTACGTTTCAGGTTTTTGAGCCAGTTTCGCTTAGCTTCGTCTTCTATAGGAAGGTGATGAAAACTGTACCTTCTCTCGCAAGTGCATTCCGCTCTAACTTTAGGTTTGTGTATATAGCACTGTTCTTTAAGCCACAAATTAAGCTTCGTCTGGTTACAAGTGCATCCACGGACAGCACAGGTTGTTCCAGAGCTTTGTAATGCCATTTTAATATATTCCCGCCTGAAAAACAAACCGCACATAAACAAAACATTTCACCGTCGGCGCAACTCAGTCAATGCTGCTACTACTTCCGGGGGAAGTTATACCCATAATCGTTTTTACAGCAGCGCCCCCAGGAAAAAAGGTGGATAGTCAAGCCGTTAAAATTAGACCACAGATTGCCTCGATTTTGCCAGGTGGGCTAAAAGCAGACTACACGTAGCCCGTCCAATTTAGAGCTAAATCATGGCTACATATAGGTGGTCATGAAATGACACTTATATCTTTGTAGATATTATTGACACTGCGAACATGATGGGATATCAACCATCTTATGCGCTGCCTGGCCAAAAACTACAGTGAATCAGGTTTGACTATAAGTGGGCTACAGATAGCTGCTCTGACTACGAGCTAAATCCTAGCTACGCACACGTATTGAACATGTCAAAGACATGAAACCAAACACCTTGTAAACGCTGTTGACTTTGCTTACATGATGGAATATCATACATCTCACAAGTTATTTTGCCAAAAAACGACATGAAACCAAATTCAAGGTTATTTGGGCTAGAAGTGGGTTACACATAGCCGGACTATATCGGGTCTATACTTAACCGAGACGTTGAAATGACGGCTATTGTTTGCTGGGGACTCTCTTTTTATTATTTTCCGGCTTTAGCAAGTTAACTGAATAATGGAAATTCGTTGTATTTTTTAATAAACCCACTAATAAAAATGTGGTGGACTGAGTCACTGGCTGAATTAGACAGGCGATTTTCACATGAAGCGTTGGCCTCGAGTGGGGCCAAAAGGGTCTGGCTGCAGCTGGCGCTTGCACTCTCAGACACTTGCGCTTCCGCTAGCGACGTCACTTGCCGTCTTTATTATTTTTTATTTTGTTCTATTTATTGATTACTTTTTGTTTGAATCTCTCAACATTTTACAACAGTAGCCAGGTGGTGAAGACAAGAAAATAAACTAAAATTACGAAGTCACTTGCAATCGCCACTTGCACTCTCCGATACCTGCGACATCACTTGCAATCGACGTGCTGCTGAGCTTCTTGCCGAGACTACCGTGCCGGGACGTGGGTTGGCTGTTTTTCCGCGACGTGTGCGAAGCGATTGGGAGGGATAGTTTGTAGCGTTGGGTTTCCCTAACTAAAGTTCGGCGGCCACCGGTTGTTTTCCTGAACGCTGTACCCCATGTCCGGTGGCGGGTAAGAGGGCCAGCAGCCCGTTATCTGCCTGTATGACTTATTAATTTGTGTGTATCTATGAAGTGTTTTATTCGCCGGGGAGTCCTGGTTTAATGCGATTGATTAATTGTTACCGGTCCCCCGGCACTTGTATGTGTGTTTGTAATCGTGAGTGTGTGTGTGTGTATAGCAGGTATTAGGGCAGGTTATTATCTTTCATGTGCCATTGTTTGTTGTTTTATATTGACGACGGCTAAGTAGTTAGCCAGAGTGGTTTTGGCACGTAGTGAGTGACCTTTTGGTGTGTATTGAAGTGTGTGATTTAACTGATGCACTTATGGATTTTTGTACCTTTTGGTGTTTGCTGTGTAATGAAATTGCGTATAATTGGCAGCACGTGAATTAATCAAGGTGTTTAAACCCTCTGCTGAATAATTTTCTGCTCGTTGATTGCTTATTCTAAGTAACTTGTGATTGGTCAAATACACTATTACTCATATGTGACACCCATCTTAACCTGCTGCTTTGCCCTTTTGAGGTTTTAATATGATTTGTATTATTGTATAAGAATAAAAGCTATATTTGTATTTATTAAGGTTGTGTGCTCGAGTCTCCTTG